ACATTTTATAAACTGAAATTTGTAATTTCGAACATCATTACATTATATCCATTTCGTATTTGTTTAATTTTATAACATATAAGGCTGATATATATTAACTTCATAATGAAATGAGAGATGACAGCTCAATAATTTTTTTCTTCTTTAAATTAATATTTTTATCTTTTACTAAGTCTGCTAAAAATTTATATCAAACATTGGTGTGTCTTATCAAAGATTTAAACGCACTCATTTTGTAAATGTCATTGTGCTTTTATCTTCTATTTTATTTCAAATCCTGTTTTTTGAATGTCTCGAAAACTGTTATCATTATCTTCTATATAAAATCTTCTGTTAGTTTGAAGAGTTCCTTTCTGGAGTTGATCAAATACAAAGTACAATGTACTAACCATAAATGGTGAAACTCGAATATTAGGCATTAGCAAAAAATGAACAAAATGTGTATAAATATTTTTATTGATTCAATTTTTAGCGCAAACACTCAGTATCACAGGATACATCACAATATGCATATCAAATAAAATATATGAAATACATAATCTTATTTAAAGAGCATTTTATATTTGTTCAAATAATTAATCTGTAAAATTTTCATGGAATAAGTTATTTCTTAAAGACATAAAAAAGGATTTACGCCATAAATGAATGATAGAAAAAATGAATTAATAAATCTGGAGTTTTAAAATTCTTTTAAAAAAATCAAATATTGGATTATTTTGGAGGACTACCTAAAGAATTAGTTTTATTCTAATAAAATAGTTGTGTATATTAATAATATATTAAAATAAGCAATATTTTACATCTCTTTACCACTAAACAAAATCTTTAAGAATATTCTGTTTATGTAGTATTTTATGGGAAATAAAACCACTTAAATATTTTCCATATTTAATGATTGATTAGGTAATAGGTTGCGATAGAGTAACCCATAGCATACTAGGGGAGAAATATACTATTATTTTCACGAAATTTATATAAGATATATATAATTTTTGAAGAAACTTGAGAAATGGTTTCTTTCTTTCTTCAGATTTCCTCCATTACAATTCCCAAGACTTTGATAAGAAAAAAACACAGTTTCCTCAACGGGTCCCTTTGGGGTCCTATCGTCTGTATCCGGCCCTCTTCACTTCTATTAACCTTTATGGAGTTCTAGATTGTCATGTTTGGATGACAGTAGAGATGCCAAAATAGTGAAGAGAAAATCCCTTTCGGGTTGGAAATTCCCTATAGGGATTTTTCAGTAGATATATCATTTATTCTAAAAAATGTGTCTATCCTGTATTTTTGAGGGTTATATAAAAACATTCATTTTCTACTTTTTATTATCCTCCTCTTTGTGTTTTTATTTTGGATGAAAATGTGAGATTTCTCTAAGAAATGTTGAAATGTACGTCTATTTTCTAAAGAAAATAGGCTGTAGAATAACCCGAGAGCTTTTGAAATATTGAAGTATTTAAGAAATAAATGGTAAAATCAAGTATTTTTATCTACAGAATAAATTTATAATTTAGTAAAGAGTTTTATTGTAAATGTATGCTTAAATATTTAGATTTAAAATTTGAACGCCATTTTTATTTAAATTTTAATATGTTACTCTTTCGAATTTTTCATGTTAGATAACAAAATTGACTTATAAATTTAAAGTTATTTTATCTAAATATCTTTTCATTTGTGATTAAAATATCTGATAACCCTGTAGCATTTTTCCTGTAACCCAACATATTTTATTTATAAACACAAAGAAAATGCATGCTTTATTTAAAAATTACAATACTTATAATACTAAAATACTTAAAATAGTTCTTATTTATGTTTATGATGTTTAAAAGTAGATAACTTTTCGTTCAGAAATAATAATTGTCATACCTAATGTCACTTGATTGACGGTGTCAGATGGAGTTTACTAAATTCGCAAGCAACAAGCAACTGTTTCAAGGGGATAATGTTCTGTCTGTCATTTGCCGCGGCTTTTAGCACCATGCAGTTGACAATTCGTTTTAGCTCCGTTTCATCCCAATTTTGAGAGAGGACTGTCCGAGGGTCGTCAGAGGGTCTCCCATTTCTCGAGAGAGAACTTCGACTCTTCCATGCCTTACAAGCGTTATACATATACAAACATTCATTCCTTCTCCAGGTTTGGAACCCAGGCCCTGCGGTGCAGCAGTCAGCAACCCGAACCGCTATAATGTCATGAAATATATGAATGAATATGTATGTGTTGTTAGGTTCATATACACAATGAACTAATAAGAAGTCCTCCTGAAACCATCGATTCCATATTTACATGATCACCGGCTGGGTGGCGTAGTTGGTTTGTCGTTGTCTTTCTGTACCAAAGATTGCAGGTTCGATCCCGGCCTAAGTCGGTGGATTTTCCTGAAACAGATAATCGACAGCGGCCATGTCGTATGATTATACCTCATGAAAAAGATTCCTTGAGTGTCCGTTTCGTTTGAATACTCTCGGCAAAATTAAGTTCCTAAGAACAAATTTCGTATCGGCAGAGCTCGGATGCCTCCCTCTGGGAAAAAAACTGGGCTTCAAAGTTACTTGTGGTAATTGGTATCGCCTAAATGGTGTCTCACTGAAATTGATACCAGCTCCTGGGGAATGTACTAGGTCTGCAAAGGTAGAAATACCAATACGTAGCCATTACAGAAAAAAAAATATTTACATGAATAGTCACTGGATTCCGACAAAGGCCAGTAGCAATATTGCAGAACGATAAACGGTACTATTGATTAGCTACAATCGCGCCACTATAGGATGCTGACACGTGCTTGTAACCGTTTTTCCTTCATATACGAAGAATAACAAGATCCTCTCACAAATAACCAATATTCAACTGTGGTTTCCTAATGAGAAACTCGTTTTTAATTCTAGTTTTATGCAGATTTTGAGAAACCGTTTGTTCTTCCTTTATCTTTCGATTGCGCTTAAATGTTATAATCATTGGCATATCCCATCATCTTCTTTTCATGCAATTTTGATGTTTGTGATGTTTTTGGTGTTGTAATTTTAATGACCAATAGTATTGATATAGTAAACAAAAATTTTTAATTTTTATTATTAACTAATTGATTAAAAAATGTCAAAGTACATCTTAATTTTTCGGTTGAAATTAAACTGTCAGCTTAATTTAGAAAACATTTATGTGTTAAAACTATAAATAGCTCTTACTACCTCAAAAACATTGCTATATTATTATTAACTAATAATATTTCAAAACCAGTAAATAATAAATAAAATAATTTACTCCAAAACTATTTCGCCATTTTTTTATGTTTGCTAAAATAAAAAATACATACTTTCATTTATAAAATGAGATTTTGAGATATTGTGAAATGCGAAAATTTAATTTTCATCAAGCGCAAAAGAAAGCTTTTTATCTTCCCATTGTCTTTCAAACACACAAGACAAATTGATCAACTTAAAAACCTTCCTCATAAAGTCTCGCAAAATCCCATCATACTTGTAAGAAGTTAGGAGGATAAAGAAAACGAGAGTTCTTTTTAGAAAAATTTGATCATTTTAGATAATGCTGATTTATATTTTTTCAAAGCCTTCAATACATATTTCAAGTATAGAATTCACGTATTTTTTAACTCTTGATCAGATTCTTTCGAATTCGATTTTGCTACTGGAGGACTATAATTTAATTCGACTTCGGCGTGTAACAAACTGAATTAAAATAAAAAAGAGAATACTGATTTACCTTTTTTTTTCTTTAAAAAAAATAAAATTTTGGTTAAGATATTTAGTTTGCTAAAACGAAATAATTTTCAAAGCGTTTTTGCAACCCAATAGCTATAGTTTCATGATCAATATATAAATTATATTTGGCATAGTAGATATCACATGGTTTGGCACAGTATATGATAGAAAAGTCAATAGTCTCATGTTCTTACATTAATATAAGACATATATGCAAGCAATAAAAAAAATAATTCAAATCCTACTTAGGCCAACAAGGAAATTTTTTTTATTTTAGTTACTTTTTATTAAATTGATACAATTAATATGAATATACATAAACCGGTGGTTATAATTAAAGTTACACTATTCAGAGATCTGTAGAACCCGTTTTGCTTATCGTACTTTGATGAAACTTGGAATATATGCTATGGGGACCATGGGGAAAAGGTTTCTACAATAAAAAAAATAGTTCTGGTTTTGACCACTGGGAGGAAATGTGTTGCCCGAAGAAGGACAAAAAATGTATTAGAATCGTTAAAATGTATTCAGTTACAGAATATACTCAATATGTGCATCATTGACATCAAGAACGCGTTGAAAGTGCATTATAGCGTTTTCAATGGTAGCGCGAAGTAACTCACGAGGGATACCAGCCGCATGGCGTATATAATGTTAGCTTTCGAATAAGGTACAGCTCTAATTTCTTCTCTATGAACAAGGTATTTTAGGAATCCAAAGTTAGCCAAAAATAACCAAATTTAGCACTAAGCAGTGCTTCGACTTGGTGCCCAATGTAAGAAGTAATCTCCATCTGGTATAAAGATAGCGGTTTACAAACATGGTCATTCCTTTAAGGCAGGAATGATTAGCGATGACAAACGGGTGCTGAATAACTACATGACTACGAAGGCAAATTTATATAGAGGTTTTAAGGATTGGCACAATGAATATTCGATAAAAGCCACCTCGTGCTCAAAATTTGTACTATTTTTTATTGTAAAATTTTTATTCTCATGATCTATGTAGCATATATTCCAAGATTCATCAAAATCCGGCAAGCAGAACAGGTTCTACATGCGTCTGAATTGTGTAACTTTAATTATAATTACCCAGTACATATGACAGAATCCCAATATTGAGTGACAAGATGAAAGCGATTTTCATTGTAATCTTCCATTTTCCTTTCTATATATGGTGTTGGACTAATTTTGTTTGTTTCTATTTATTCACATTAATTAAATTTAATTATTCTAATAAAATAGTATAGCGAAAAAAAGAAAACACATTCTCAGAAATTAGGCCATCTCAGGTGGAATTCGAGCCCACGGTCCTTGAATTAAAAGTCCAACGCGCTATTTATTGTGCTACAGAGAAACACAACGAACGATTTTTTTATCTATATATGCTGTTGGACTATTATTTTTGCTCGTTATTATATATTCACTTCTTTATTTAATTAATGAATTTATATTTGAAAACACTGTGTTAAAACCAAGTTGCTACTATAAATTTTTAAAAATGTACTTGAACTTGAATGGATGGATAGAAAGCAATTTTATTAACGATTGAAAATTTGAACTATATATATATATATATATATATATATACATATATATATATATATACTCTATTTATATATATATATATATATATATACATATATATATATATGTCAGGCCGCCCCATGCCTGCTGGTAAAATGAGGAGGGCTTCATCTCTATAACAACGTTTTTATTTTGGTTCAATCACATAAAATCCAACATGGCTGCCCTTTGGCGCGCAACCGAGTAGAACAATAGGCAACAATTCAGCGAGAAGTCACTAGCTAAGACTTTTCGAGTATGCGTTCTCCTTCGTCAGAGCTCGCTCCACCTTTAAATAGGCTTATTTAACCACAAATCCTTACGCAATGGTAAAGAGTTCACTCTATTTTTATTTATTACTTATTTAATTTTGTTTGAAGCTAAACTTTACAAACCTGATATATATCTATAGGGAGAGAGTGAACTAATGGTAGGAATTGAAAAAAGTTGTTTTACAGTGGTTGTTTTTTGTTCCTTTGTTTTTTTTTTTTGTTTTTAAACAAAATGTTCAGTTTAAATGCATTAAAAAAGTGTAAAAACAATCTTTTCAATTAGTCATTATGTTTGGTTATTTTTAAAATATTAATTCCTTGTATATTAGTTTTTTTAACTTTGTATTTTGAAGCTTCAAAGGGGCTATTGGCAACGAATCTCGTAGTTTCGAACCGAGTTCTCAAGACTAAGATTTCAGCTGACATTCCTCTAAAAGCTGCTCATGAACTAATGAAATTTTCATTTTTTATTTCACTAAAAATGAGCCAGCTGGAACAAATTGAAATCATGTTTTATTCGAGGTATAGGGAAAAAATATTACGTTAACAATATATATGTGCCTTTAATCCAATTTTGTCATCACACAATTTTAGTAATTTCAGATTGCTGATCTGATTGTTATTAAATGAGTTCCAAGATTGTTTGTAGTATATTACTAATAGAAGAATAATGTAATTTAAATAAAACCGTCTTCATATATATATATATATATATATATATATATATATATATATATATATATATATATATATATATATATATATATGAAACAAATCATAAAAGATTTAGATAAATTCTACCTTAAAATGGCAATTAAATACGGAATGCCGATTGAAGCATTCAATCAATTTAGATCTTATGTAGCAACAGAAATTCGGGAATTAGATTTCACTGTTGAAAATGAAATTATGTATAAAGATCTTAAATCATCAATAGAAAATATCCAAAATGACTTCGTGATTACATATGTTGATAAGGTCTCTGCTAATTATGCCATAATTTGTAAATACTTTTACAGTAAAATATTAAGTAACCACATTTTAAATAATAATTCATTTCAAAAATCAATTCACAATAATAGAGAAGATGATAATCGTCTTTTAGCTTTGAACAAAAGACTGAATATTCATCTAAATAATATTAAATATCCAAGTATTTTTTTAACACCAAAATTTCATAAAAGCCCTATAAAATTCCGTAGTATCACTAATGGATACAATACATATATCACGAAGTCTGGGAAGATCTTACAATCTCTTCTTCAAAATCTAATTGATAATTTACAAAACACGGCAATAATTAAAAATAGCTTAGAGATTGCTAGAGTTACTAAGGATATGTTAATTTTTTCCATGCATGGTTTTGATTTCGAGGACCTTTTTAATTCTATAGATATTGACGATATGATTAAGGTTCTACAGTTAATTTATGATAAATATGAATTATATACTTCAATGAAAAAAGAAAAATTTGATATTCTTGTTAACCTCGTATTAAAAGAAAATTTCATTACATTTGATCAGAATCTTCATAAACAGATCAAAGGATTACCTCAGGGTGGTCCAGCTAGTAATTGTTTAGCGAACCTATATTTAAATTTTTTTGAAATAGATCATGTTGTAAATGATTCTTACTTAATTTATCGTTATATAGATGATATAATAATTTTTGGTAAAAATAGTGAATACAAACCAAATATTACGTTCTACCCTGATTATCTCAAGCTCCATAAAACTAACTTCAACTCTAATATGGTGGAATTCTTGGATTTAGACTTGCATCTTATTAACAATAATGTAGTCAGTAACATTTTTGACAAAAGAGATTCGTTTAAGTTCCATATAATAAGAATTCCCGTATGGAATAGTAATTTACATACATCAATTTACAGAAATATCATTTTGAATTTTTTATTTAGAAATGATAACTTAACTACCCACAAAATAGATAAATACAATAATATAAAAAAAATTTTTCAATGTTGTTTAGATCATGAATACCCTTTTAATTTCTTAAGAACTTATATTCATCACAAATACATTAACCGTCTTGCTACTTCGAATTCCAAAACCACCACACAACAATAGGATTTCAAAGTCAGCATGTTAGTGGTCTTGCTGTGAAGATTATATCATAACACTCATATCACAGTTTACATTTTTTCCACACACATCTTTAACATCTTACACATTGTTGACAACCAACCAAATCAGAGCCTAGCAAATTTACATTTTTGACAATCAACTAATTCAAATTTTACCATATTTGATTGTCGTCATTTTATACCTGTCTTTGCTGGCTGGTTTAAAAGTCAGTTCAAAAGATGTATCTATGTATTTTCGAATTTTTTAACTTGGTGAATAATTGATTTTCATTAATGGCCAGACGCTTGATTCTCTTCGTAAAAGCTTTGTGAGTAAAGAAATTTTGTTAAATTATTTTTTGAAAGATACTTTTCTTATGTAATTGTTTTAGCATTTTTCTACTTTTCTTACGTAATTATTTTGTGATTTTTCTGCATTAAGAGTTTGGGAGAGTTTGTTATATAATAGTAGTGAGTGGTTTTATCATGCTCTCTGAGTTATCCATACTCTGAAGTTTTGTTTATTTTATTTTATTTGGTTTTCCTACCGAGTTGCAAAGGGAGAAGGTTGGCGCCTTCAAACTAGTTTAACCCCACTTATTCGGTCCTAAGTCCGAAATTGCTTTCTGACTCGCTAGGTTCTTCATTTTTGTAGTTTTTTTTATTTCTTTATAATTTTGTTCTTCATGTTCAGCTTTTATATGTTTATTACGCTATTTCTTGTTATTTTATTTATCTTTTATTTCTTGTTTTTGATATATATAATTTCTTTACATATTTCTTTTTATATATATATATATATATATATATATATATATATTGCTCTAAATAAAGGTTGCTCTAAATAAAGTAATGCAAAACCAGAATTAGATTTTTCCTTTAGTAAATTAAAAAAAAATTTTTTTTTGTAATTTAGAGTAATTATTAATCAGACCAGCATGTTTTTATCTTCCGGGAAAATTGAATTAACATTTGTTTCATATTAAATTTTTTGTTACCTATTCCGTAAACAAATTAAAACATTCATTATATATAATTGGTCACTGCATTTCCATATGTATTCTCAGAGTAAAACAATCACTTTTTCTATTATAATCTATTTTATCTAACTAAAGATTTCATACGTTATGGGTCTAGCGAACTACAAACGTACCTCACAAATATTACGTCACATATTTCCATCTTGACTAAAAAAAAATCCAAACGTAGGCATAATTAATCCTTAAATTAACGAATAATTCTATGAAAAATAATTCAAAAAGCAACTATAAACTGAAATTCCTGATAAACCGCAGCTTCCAGCATATTCTAGAAATTCTAGAAATAATGAAACAGCTATAAAATACTTGTTTGTACTTGTATTATGATTCACTCTGTGTGTGAGCCAGGTTAGTGAAGGAGGATTATGAAATAAGGACACGATCTCGTAAAATACTGGTTCTTTGACCAATGGTTAATGCAAAGTTTTACAAAAACTAGAGAGATATAAAATATTTATATTACAAACTGCGGAATCTCAGAGAGTTGAATCGGAGTATATAATTTTCTGCTGATCAGCTATCAATCGTTTCAAGTAAATTTTTCTTTAAAATTCTACTTGATAGAACTCCAGTCCTGTTTAAATGCAATTAAAATAAGTTTCTAAACTCTAATAGACAATTGCTTTTGAAATTTTATGAAATGTGATAAAAAGAAGTTTAAGGTTTAAAAAACATATTTTTTTATTTAAAAAAAAGTTTGATTTATATGGCTTTCTTGCATTTGTATTTTTTAAGTTCTATTAGCCCAATAAAACTACACCCATTTTAGCAATCGAAACTATGTTGCTGGTATGCATCACTTTATAAGGTAAAAGTGTTGAATTTAAATCACGATTTCTCAAAAGTGTGAATTACAACACAAAAGGAACATTTTTGAAAATTCTACTTATCGTATGGCTTTCATGCTTTGCACACAATTTAATATTATTTAAATAAATATTTTAATGAGATATTTTGTGTGCTAAGAAGTTATTCAAGAAAGATTTACGGGTTATAATCTATGCAATTGTCCATCATTTGAAAGCTTTTGTCATGTTATTCAAATAATAATACTGCAAAAAATCCACATAAAAAGTTCATGACTGTACGATGAATCATTGTTTTAAACTGTTCTGTAAACTTAGTTATTTATAACAGTATGTAAATACAGAAAATTCGGCGTCGGGCGATTCCCTTAATTGCAATGAGGTTTCGAACACTTTCTATGTGAAATTAATAAAACAATAGAAGATTAACTTGAATGCGCTTCCTTTTATGACTGCATCAAGAGAAGAATACTTTACACACACTTCCTTTTTTCCCCTTCTCTTCAAAAATGTAATTCCTAACATTCTTCAGGTAAGGTGATACTGTCAAATTCTCACCCTTCGCACCGTTTAAGTTGGCGTTCGTTAA